TATACATTTACGAATTTTTGTATAAAATAGTAAAGGATAAGGAATGTCAAAAAATATATATATATATATAAATAAATAAAAGCAACATTTTACTTGATTACATATCAGTTGATCTTGTCGAGAAGTCCTTTCTTACAATTGTGTAAGACTGTTACCAATATGTAAGAACAGTGAATTTTGCCTAAAGTTTTGTTACTATCCACTCTATTAATTTACAGAAAACATAAAAAAGCAAGCTTGAAACGTTATACGTAAGATTTTCTTAAGAAATGTATAGCATAATTTTGTACAAAAAAAAAAAAAAGAAAATATATAAATATTTTATGTAGGAAACCGAAAAAGAGCAGAAAAGAGATCTCACTCATTTAGTTCGGGTTGAGTTTTTATTTCTTTCTTAATTTTATATGGAAGTGGTGGGCAATATAATACGCAGTGTGGGCCGAACATAAATCGTCAGTATTTTTACAATTTACCATTAATCAAGAAAAGTAGAAAGCTGCTAAATGCCTTAGAGCTAAGCAAAGTAATAAGAAAACTTACATTATGTTCTTCAAGCCTCATTAATATTTTTAAAAATTTATGCATTTTGTATAATGCCATATATAATAAGAGATTTCGTTTTTTTTTTTTCTCTCTCTCTCTCTCTCTCTCTCTCTCTCTCTCTCTGTCTTAACAATCAATACCGCTAAACCTATTACACAAATGGACATATTCAATTAAGTTGGCTAGTTAAAGCCGACAAAACCGTTTTCCTTTAAATCATAAAATGAACTCACCTAATAATGAATTTCAATAATAACTGACGTATTCACGTTTAATAATTGATTGAACCTAAGAGAAAACTAAAGATTTTCAATCATAAAATTTATGACTAAGATATGGGAAAAAGGGAGTGTGAGAGGCGCTATTAAAATCCTATAAATAATGGCAATTAACTCCCGCATGGTACTTTCGATCAAAATTATTCAAAAATTCAAACTTAAAGTGAAAGGTTTTAGCAAATTTGCCAGCATATAAATGAATATATATGAACACATAAAAGGCCATACCTATTCACTAAAAAATATATTAAAATCAAGATATCAGCTGCATAATATATATACATATATATATATATATACATATATACATATTTATATCCAGAGCCTCTGTAACACATATATGAATTTACCAAAAGTCTGGACATGTCTCTAAGTATATATATGATTGTATGTGCAATCATCTGTAAAGATAATAAAATAAACAACTAATATAATCGGTTCGTATGCCGTTAAAATTGAAAGGCTTTTACCGCGTAAAGCAACGGGCAGCATTTTTACAATAATAATAGCAGCGCAACAGCTCTGCCAAAAAGCATTCATTCAGTCATTAAAACTAAAAACAGAGACTTTGGCTGCCGAAGCCTTAAGGTGCTACATCGTTATGTTGCTATTCTCTACACCGCATAGTGTACATGCAATTGACCTCATTTGTGTTTATAACTGAAAAATCGCAAAAACAATCAAGCGAACAAGCGAACAAGCAAACGAACAGGCGGGCAGGCAGGCAGGCAGGCAGGCAGGCAGGCAGGCTGGCAAGGAAGCAAAGAAACTACCAGTAAACATTTGAATAAATCTGCAACTACCTATAGCACAAACCTTTACATATCCTATACACCATGTTAACTAAACTCTAAAAATCGAAACCAATAACAACGACAACGACAACGACAGCTACGCTATGTATGAAAAAGAAATTGTAGAGAAATTACTTTTTTTTTGCGTTTTTTTTTAAGTTTATAATAACCATACATACATACATACATACATATCTTCCGCTCACTCGTTTTTTGCTGTTTCTTTCGCTGCATTGATCGACAACGCAATAAAAATTTCAATTCAAGTACACTTTGAATGAGGTCAACCAACAATTTTCGGTTTGTTCACGAGGAGTTTACATTTACGTGAAATCTTTTAATGAACATAAAAATGTTCGTTTTTACGTCTTTGGAAATTTAATTCTTTTCGTAGTGAAACTTAACACGCTTAACAAACAATATAATCAGCAAGTGTTTATTGATTGAAAATGAAAAAAAAAGATTAAAGAAAAAACACAAAGAACACTAAAGTTTGTGAAGAGAACTAACTTAAAATGAAAGTCTAAGATTACTTTTTTTTTTTTTGTTTTAGTTTTAAGGACATCGTCCATAGGGAAGCGTTTCAAATTTTTTTCTGTTTTTTGCTTTGCAACTCGATAATGGAAAGTGATTTTTATTAGTGCTTGCTTAGTCATCAATATTTAATCACTTAGTATAAGATTTAGTTTTTTTTAGTAATCTTTCCTTTTACTAATAGATTATGTGGAAAGAATTGAAATTCAAGCAGATTCTTGTATGAATTTCATTGATATTTAGATCTACCGGCATCTTTGCCTATCTTAAGCTGTTTGCTTTTCTTGGCTATTAATATTACTGATGTTGCTTCCTTTCAGCAATTAAATCTTGCTTTTGCAAGAAGAAACAAAACTTAAAATTCTTCACCTTTTTCTCAATTCCGTTACCCAAGAAATAGTTATTCTCTTTCGTAAGCCACTAATACAAAGATCAAAGTTTTTACAAAGTCTATATAAAAATTTTGATCTGAGATAATTTAGTAACGTCCATCCCTTTGTCCATGTCTACGTATTTGCATTTACTTATTTCCTTCCGGTTAGCTTAAATCATATGCTCGCATGCATTGCGCTTAAGGATGCTCATATGCTGCGATATCCAAGAGAGGGAGTATGAGAGGGAGTTTAAAGAATTTCCCCAGCCGATCTAAAGTTTTTACACCAATTTTAAATGCCGAGGTACCACTACTTAGGCGCTTTTGCCGAAAAATATTGAAAATTGCATTTTTTATCCATATGACGACTTTTCAAAATAGGGCGTTATATGGGGAGCGGCCGAAAAAGTTACTCGATCCGTACCATTTTCAATAGCTTCAGTCGTTGGGTTAAAATATGTCTGCGTACCAGTGTGATCTGCAACTGGAATACAAAAATGACGGATAGGCGGACGGACCGACAGACAGACTTATATAATTTTTAAAAAATTATTATGAACCGATCAGTACAATAAAAGGTGGGTCTATTTTAAGCCCCTCTAGATGTTACATACGTCTGCAAAAACTTAATATATCTATATGTGTATGTATAATATCTATATATAAAATCTAAAATATATAGCATGTATATAGGATACCACTTGGTATGCAATAGTACATGGTATAAAAACTCCTTAAGCCTTTTAATCTTAAAGCTACGATAAGATATCCCAGCATAGTCCTCAACAGGGCTATTTTAACGCCATGGCGGTCCAGTTTCCGCAATGATCTCGTCATTGGATGCAAAGCTTTTCCCTTACAGCATCCCATCGAGATTCCTAAGCCAATGATAGTAGCTGCGTTCCATATTTGAAGAATGCCCTAAGTATGGCTGCAATATAAACTTTAGTTTATGAAATTTTACTAACACTTTTACTATCACTTTGTCATAGTGGATTAAATGTGGAGCTCATGTGGGAGAGAGCTTTTCTTATTGTAAATTTTCAACCCAGAATAGTGGAAACACGACGTTTTGCAAGCACATTTTTCGATTAATGAGAGTGAGTTTTACTTCTTTTTTATGTTTTCTGGTGTTAAGCGCCTCTTTGGACGTCAACTGCAAACCGTAGCCAAGTTGTTGTTGTGATAAGAAAATAATTGTCGTAACACATTTCAACTCATCGATATCTTTTTGAAAAGGAGTTTTCTATAAAAACAAAACTACGTTTAATCAATGCACAACAGCGTCTTCTAAATTACTAGACTCGTTAAAGAATGACCCGAAAGACATGATATTTTAACAAGAATCGCTTAATTATTGAAACATATTAAAAAAATATTAGTTTGGATATTATGTCGCATTCTCAGAATTTGTTCGACGATATAACGAGAATCAACGCCTTATTTAAACAGGTGTATTTGGCCTTTCGTTATCTTGTTATTTATTTTCCTTTTATTAGATAATTTTTTTCTTAAAACTTCAAAAGTTTGTCAGGCACAGAAAAATTTGGGCGTAACAGCACATCGTCACACTAATAAATTTAATATTTTATTTCCCGTAGCGAAGTAGTTCCCCGTAGAAGAAGACACACATTTAAGGTAAATCTCTGCCTATATGTAGTTCTTAATAGATCTCAGTTAATGTTTTATCTGTGATGAGAGTGCATTTGAAAATTGTTTTTAAAAAGAAGTTATTCATAGTAAAATCATTCAATTTTTTTATCATAAAACTAATCTCTTATGATTTACTTTATTTTTCTCTTTTTTTTTTTTTTCTTTTTTACAGAATTAAACTAAAAACCGAAACGTGTTTAAGCACAAAATTAAAGGCAAAAAAAAAAGCTAAAGTTAACACATCTTTGTTAACCGGAGTATAAGAAAACAAAAGAACCAAAAAAACAAAAAAAACAAAAAAAAAAATAACAATAATCAGTGATAGAAACACTCCCTAAACTGTCGGTGTAGAGTGCGGTGTTTGTTTTTCTTGAAGATTATCAACAAACATTATCTTCAAAATAAAAGACGAAAAATGTATATACAAAAAAAAAAAGAAAAAAAAGATTAATAACAAAAAGAAGCTAAGAATTTTTTTTCTTGTCTTAACATTTGAGTAAATTTTGTGTCAGTTTTCTACCCACCATAATCAAAAAAAAAAAATCAAAAAAAAAAAAAAAAACGGGCGCTAATGTTTTTGTCATTCAACTCGTTCAGCTTGAAAAGTAGGAAGAGCTCGGAAAAAAAAAACGACTGTAAATAAGAAGAAGAATTTTAGTAATTGTGCATTTAAGTATAAAATACATATACAACACACATATCTATATATATATATAGATATATAAATATAATGTAGAATAACGGCTACAACAATAACGATAAGAGTTTACGTGAATATCATTTTTCACAAAAATCCCAAGCAATCAAATCGTATTTTAATAAGAAAAAAAAATTTGTTATAATAATCATAAAAAATATTGTTTCTAAATGAAAAAAAGCAATGTGTAAAGAATTTTAAACAAGTGTCTGGCGAAGCGTGTACGAGTTAAGTGTATTGATTGTGTTTTTCGAAATCTTTCGTATTAAATTTCGTATTAAATTTGTTTTGTTTGCTTTCTTAAGCAATAACTTATTTATTTATATATATAATGCTTTTGTGTTTTAATGTCAGCATAAAATTTACATATAAATATTTTTGGGGATTATATTATTAAACACACACGGTCTTCTCTTCCATGCAATCATGTAAGTAAATGTTTATTTTTTCTTTTTTTCTTTCGATATTTTGTATATATTAACATATATTGTAAATATGGGCCGTGTCTCTTCAGTTCGTAACTTTTTTTTTTTTTCTTCAAAATATTAATGAAATATATATAAAAGAAATATAAAATTACATTAAAAAGCTTTGTATAATATATTCATACTAAGAGTTTCCACTATCTCTTACTGAATGTCTTAGTTCACTTTTGAAAGAGGAAGAGGTCAAAACTCGAAAAGATTTTTGCGTTTTCGCTAAGGAAAAAGATATAAATTCGTGAACCCTCTGATGGCAGATGAAAAAAACCGAATCCCAGACAAAAATCTGAAAATGCATTCAAATGGAAGAATCACGGACCTAAGCATTACCGTTAATGACGAAAAAGTGATAAGTCGTAGAAGGATAACTCTTGATAACTGCTTCAATAAAGCCCTCGAAGAAAGATTTTCATGCTGATTTAAGGAGCGTATGAAGGACGCTAAAGAAAGCTTAGTGGAAATGTTCGAATGTGGTTTTCGTGGTGCTTTGATTCGGTTTTTTTGTGACATAAGAGGATTTCGATTAGATGAAATCCTTAGTTGCCGGCTGGAACCACTTTTTCTGAAACTTGTTGTTTATATTTAGAATTTCCCAGGGATTAGCCTCTTTTTCTTGGATAATCTCCTTCATTCAGTCCCTTTTAAGCTACGGAGGGTTTTTTTTTGAAATTCTTTTGTATTTCACTTCCTAGTTCGACAGGCCCTAGCCAATCCATCTAATCACAACGCCAAAAACAAAAAGTTTATATAACCCTTGACCTGATTGTGCTCGAAACAGTCGCTTACTGCTTGCTGCACTGTTCGTTTCGAAAAGCAAAACAATACCATTTTCATCTGTATTAAAAACTGGCGATACTCTACAAGTGCTGGTCACGGAGAAAAACTTACCATATCCCGTTATTTGCTTTTGCCCTAGAATCGTACTTATTAAATGTAAAGGAACATTATTCCTACATTAAGGATAGGATGTGTTCACGTGTTTTGGACTGAACCGACTGATCACAAGTTTCGAGATATTCGACGAAATGTTATATATGGACGGTTTTGTAATTAGGATGTGAATGAGATCATTTTTACGGTCACACCTCATATGACGTGTAATTTTAAAAAAGATCCGTACGAAAAAAAATTTACAATTTCCAAAATTTCTTCTCAATGAAGCATTAGGATCCGAATTTTGAAACGTCTGCCTTATAGCCGCACCTTGAAAAGCATATACTTATATGACATGAATGCTGTAGTGATGTATTGTTCTACAGCTTGGCGTAAAAATTGACTGCATCGTATTTGGACGACATAGATCTCTTTTATGGACTCAATCCCATATAAAGGAAAGCAAGTTTTTATTGTGGTTAAAAAAGGTCGATTTTTAAACTCTTTATAACGAAAGTAGGTAATGAGTAACAAAATCTTTGCCAAAAAAGTTAAATTCGCTAAATTTGGAACTTTTCGGGTCATGCTTTCGCTCTCGTGTAGCCTTCAAATGGAAACAAGTTTTTCATGAAAATGTATTAGGTAAAGTGATATGAGCCACTTTAAGGTGAGGTTCTTAAAAGTCGCGCTAGGCTAAGCTTTTGTTTGCATTTCCTTTATGAGTTAAAATGCAAGCCAAGTTTTTAAAATATTTTATCAATAAAAAATGGGGAAATCTTATAGCGCCATCTCTTGGCCAGTAGCGAGTCCATCTCTTTGGTCACTTTTTGCAAATTTGAATTGAAGGTTATAGGAACGTGCAGGTAATTCTTACCAAGGCAGCGCAATCGAAAAGAGGAAAGCAGGTCATTGATTTGTCATATCCTCAAACTTAGAACGGAGTGGATGATCAATTATTTGAACGGCCAGTAGCCTAGTTAAAAGTACGTATTTCTTGGATTCCTATTTTTTTCTTCCTTTCTGTTTAATGCATGTGGAAATTAAAATTATTGAACATAAGGTGTAAGACGGGAGGAAACGAAAATGCAAACAAGTTATTATAGACAATTTAAACAACGTAACAATTACATATATAAACAAGCATACACTAACATATATTGCATAAATACATATATATAATTGTTTAAAGATAATAAGAATAAAATAAAAAATTATCTGTTTTTGCAAGTATCTGTCAGCTTATGTCGTCTTACAGTCTGATTTTGTAATGCAATGCATTTCGCATGTAGGTGAGAACTTATGATTACTGCCGTTTATATTTCACTTTAACCCACATACAAATGAAAAGTTTTGCAAATGTCGCTACAAAAACAAAGCACATAAGAACACGTAAGAAAGTAATCTCGTAATACCTTACATATAATATTAGCTTCCGAAGTTCAAAAGATTTCATTTAAATATTTTTTTATTAGCAAATGCATCGCAAATGCAACGCAAACTTGCATAAATATTGTGTAACCGTAATGTATGGAAAAATTATATAAATATAAATAACATTTCAACTATGATCAGGAGAAATCCAGAGTAATGTATTAGTCGCTTTGATTGCAAAAACAAACTGCAATTGTGTGCCAAGTAAATCAGAAAATTAAAAGACGCTACCCGCAACAGCAGGTAGCAGGGCACTCGCGTAGTTGAGTTGAAGCAGAACTTATACTGAGTTTATATATCAGTAAGACGAGCAGCCGAAATCTAGGAAAGCTAATGCTACTCTTTCTAAAACGATAGGCCACAAAAGCAAGTGGGACTTCTTTAAATCGGGTAAACAAATCGAACGGAAAAAAAAAGAGTCTACAGAGGAAAACTTCGGAGACAGTATAACATATATATTTTGGATCAGTATTAAATTCTTAACCCATTTGAGCATATCTTCGTACCTGTATGTCCCCTCTTTGTCTCCCGACAGTCTGTCCATCTGTCCACCTGTGCTCTCGTGTAATGTCTATAGGAAACATTCTTCTGGTAATATAAAATGAACATCTCGTCTTGAAATTTGGGAAGAGCACTGGAAATTATTGCAACTGGTCATAGAATGCACCCAGTGTACTTGATAAATTGATTTCAAAAGTAAAAAAAAACTACCTCAATAAAAATTTATACACCTGCAAAATAAAATATATCGGCCATGCCCATATTATAGAGAATCAAAATTTAATTTTTTTTCGCGCTTGTCCTAAATAAACAGTGATGGGCATAGAAAATTCAGCCGGAGCCGATTATAAATGTTTTACTTGTCTCGTGGCTTAATTTAAAATATAAGCAACTTTTTCTGCATTTTGTTTTTTTTTTTTTTTCTTCATATCTGTCTAATAACTCTTAACCTTTATTTCTAGTGGTAAGGGATTTTCTGTATATGCGTCTACTGTCCTATGTATTGCTTGGTATTTCTGGGAGTAGGGATAAAAACAAATAGTTAAATAGTTCTTTAAAACACGTTCTCAATTGTATTCAAGTAAGTCAGTCATTGCTTTGATATTTGTAAAAAAAACTATTAAAAAATTAGTATAAATCTTTACCATTATAAAGAAAAATTCAAATTCTGTAATCTCTTTCCCGCTCATAAACTTCTTAGGCTATTGCAAGTGCAAATATTTCTTTAACTCCCAAACTATATATCTATTTGAAGTTTGTCTTCCATACTTTTAACCAATTCTCGATGTCAGGAAATTATATTCGAATGCGACCTAATCATTTACAGTCATGGATATTTATTTTGGATGGCTGTTGTAGTTTATGGCCAAAAAAATTCAGAAAACCGCAATGAATTTGGTCTAATATTCACAGCCGCAAAAACAAACGGACGGACAGACAGACGGAAGGACAAGCGACCATTCTTAAATTGGTTTAGAATTTGATGTTGATCATGAACATATCAAACCTAAGGGCTCTTCAAGACTCCCTTCTTGGAGTTGCAAACATTACGAAAAAATGAATATGCCCCTGATTCTTCCGCAATGGGCGTAGAAAAAGTTACAGTATATTTTATTGCACCTGGTAACGATAAATATTATGTGTCACTCTATCAATAAAAACTTTATTTAGTAAAATAACAAAAGTCTGAAGAAAATTTGCATAATTTATTAAAACTAACTAATTGACTAATTTGATTAATAAAAACGCGTGTAAGCCTGTCCTTGTAATTTACAAATTAAACAATAAATTAAAACTTAATATCGCCAAACAAAAGAACAGGTTTTTCTATGCTATGCTATTGTACATACAAGCCTATTTTTTTTTTTTTTTTTTGCTTTTAAACAAATTTTTGGTAATAAGTGGGTTGCTTAGCGTTTATTGAAGAGGAAATTGATAACTTTGTCGTGATATCATAATATAACGTCAGTTTAAAAAAATGAGTAATTTCGGCTTAACGACTCTACTCTCAGGGTCATCTGAATTTTAAAAGTAAGTTCAGAAATTCCCTTTTACTGAAATTCTTCCCTTTCACTTATTCTGATTTCATTCTAATGACACATTAGCTGCTGTTTACGATAAAGCAAAACAAATTTTTAAAGGTAAATAAATCAAATTTAAAAGGTGTAAATCCGTAGTATATTACACAAATGAGAAAATTATATTCGCTGGTGACTGGATATTTCATATCCCTCACTGTTATCCTGAAAAAGACAAAAACGGTATCAGAATTAAATTTTCATGCTCAGTGGTATACAGATATTTTCTATTTTCAAAGTAAAAGTTGTTGGAGCCCAAGTGTGTGGGTCGTTGCAGCCGTATTAGGCGGCATAGAATGTTTACCACAAATACTACGCAGTTGCGCAGACAAACAGATGGACAAACTAACAAACCGAGATGTTTGGGTGCATTACGAATTTGAAACTAACCAAGAATTGATATATTTTAGGAGACTTCTTGAAAAAAGAATTACCCTTTAATAAACCATGAAATTGGATAGGCGTGGCGAACTTTTTCAATGTTTGCATAAGTGCCATAAGTACAAGTGGCAAAAAAACCAATTTTTTATTCCTTTCGAAAAACAACGGTTTCCCCAGTTTATA